AAGATCAATTGTAATATCTATTCTTTTCAACTTAAATATTTGAAATGATCCACACTGTGATATTAAACTAATTTTTTAAATTGGGAGGAGTCACTGGCTTGCCACACTCTCTCCTGGGTGTCCCTAGTATTGTACTATCTCTAGGATGCCCACTTTTACATTTAAAATGGGATGGGAAAATTTGGGATTAATATTTAATTGGTATTCGCGGGCGGATATTGAATACATATTAATATTAATATTAATATATTTTTTGTGAAACTAAAAAAATAATTGTAAAACAAACAACTCGGGTATAATAATAAAACGTTTTCGAAAATTATTACTAAATTGACGTGCTTTAATGCTCGCTTATTTATTTGTGACTCAGAAAATTTAACAAAGGATTAATGGCTTTTGTTTTTTCATTAAGAAAAAATAATTCTTAAAATATCGAAATCTTCTAAAATCATTGGAACAGAAATATTATTTGGAATGTAATTTTTCTTTTTTTTATTAATTATTTAAATTAATTTTATAATATTTACATTATTATTACCTTAAAAAATCTTATTCTAAATTCTATATTAATCTATATTTCTATATGTATGTATATACAGTGCATATTTAATTAAACCATAATCATAAATATAAAATTATTAAAATCTATAATATTTACAAATAATATAATTGTGCGAAAAGAGAGAGATAAAAAAAAAATTTTTTTTTCATATATTTTAATTTTAAAGCTTAAAATGTTCTTAAATTCTTAAATTGTTTTTTGAATTATTTTTTTTTTTTAAAAATCGTAAAATAATTCGTCGTCGTTGTTATTTAATAATAAATCTTGATTCATAAATAATAAATTATTATTGTTGTTATTGTTATCATGATATGAAATTCCAAGCCCATTATCGTCAAATGATGAATTTGAAAAATCATTTTGTTGTTGTTCATAAATATTTATAAATTGTTGAAAGTTACCAGTATTATCAATATTATTACCAATACTATTGTTAGTGTCGATAATATTTGAAAAGATATCCAATTCTGAAGGTGATGGTGGTTGTGATGGTGGTTGTGATGGTGATGGTGGTTGGACGAATGAATTAATCAAATTTACAAAATTTTGTTGTTCATATGTATTATCAATATCAGGTGAACTATTACTGCTGCTGCTGCTGCTGCTACAATTGCTAGAAGGTTGGTAATCATTTGTTGAAGGTGTATATGATAACATATCTTGATCGAAAGGATTTAAATATTGATTTAAAATATTTTGAGAATTATTAAGATTTGCCGTAAAAGATGATGTGTCTAACATATTTTGAATAAAAATGTCTTTATCATTATCATCGATGTTGTTAATGAATAAATCGTAATTAGATGAAATGTTAGGCGAAGAATTTGTTGAAGAAGGTGAAAATGATAACAATGGAGTAATGTTGTTGTTGTTGAAATAATCATGATCATCAAAAGTCGATAAATCAACTGTATTGGCGATATTTGGAGTATTGTTAATGTTGTTGTCGTTATTTCCAACAATGGTGACAGATGATTTAGAATTTTTATTTCTATTTTCATTTTTGTTTCCAGGTTGTTTGACATTTTTGTTAAGACGAGGTTTAGAAGATTTATTTTTTTGATCAAAAGAAACAAAATTCCAACGTTCTCTTTTATTAGGTTTAGTCGATTTTGGGTTCATCTCATTGAGACGATTGAATGCTTCCTTTGCAAGTTTCTTATATTCGTCTTTAACATATTGAGGTTCACTTTCCCAAGATTTGGAAACCATTGCTGAAATAACAGTCATTGGTAATGTGTAGCCATCAGCCTGAGCTGTATCCAGAAAAACTTTACGGTAAATGATAAAAGCGTTTGGAGACCTTGTAGGCAATTTACCATTATTTTGTTTGGTGATCAATTCACGAACATCAATTACAGGTGGGAAGGGTGGCTTGACGAATGGATGGCTGCTACTAGTAGAAATGGTTTGATTTGCAATTTCCGGATTGCTGGCGTCAATGAAAAAAACAGACCGCTGATTAAGAGAATTAACATCATTTGAAGGATTGTTCATTTTGTTATAATTATAATCTAAAGAATATTACCAAGTTTAGTAGTAATATTTGATTTTTTTTTTTGCTTGAAAATTTAATATATTTAAATCCAATTGCTTTTTTTTTCTAGAGTGGCGAAACTTCATATTTATACCTTTTTTGTTTGATGAAAGCCAAAAGACAAAACAAACCGTATTTTTGTATATATTTGGACAGAACAATTTGCTTCTATTTTTAGACGAATTTCCTTTTGAATAATCACCATTATCAAATTTAATTACTTTATAAAGAACTTACTGGTTTCTTTAGAATTTGTTGGAATTAAGAAAACTTTCTAATCATAAAATAATTACTAATTAACACGCCATGTTTTTCCAAATTTAATCGTAGTGTGGCGCGAGTTTATTAATAATATCCAATAGTTGCAAAGATTTTTAGCCACGTTAATCTTTGAATTAAATTTATAAATTTGGTAAATTTTTAAAATAAAATAAAAAACTGCAAAAAGGTTTGTGACTCCATGTTTATTAAACTCTAATTTTTGAGACCCGATTTATTTTTAAACTTTTTTTTTTTGTGATACTAATACGTAGCAAACTTTTGCAGGTCACTATATAGTTGAAATTTCTCGAAAACCAACTTCACTCCTAAAAAACTACTATATATTTAAAAACCGTGGTTGTAACCGTAATAAATGATAAGAATCCCAAAGTTTCAATATATCAATTTTCAAAGAAACTTTCTTATAAAATATTTTACCTTTGTATGTAGGGACCGTTAAATTCCTGCCTAAATTTACTATATGAAATTTAAGATTTGTTCGAATATAATATTTAAACAATGATGAAATAGTTTTCATTAATTTTAATTAATTTTTTATATTTTTATCAATATTATTAATATAAACAATATGTTAAAGATACAAGGTATGGAGAAATTATGTTCTAATCTTTTAATTCTCTCGCGTAGCTGTGCTGTACAACAGGTTATCCATCCTTGTATAGTTGACAATTTTGGTATCTTTTCCACTTTCAACTTCAAATAATCCAACGTTGTTTGGGCATTTATCCAACAACTCTCGTCAATATTTCCAGCAAAAACCACTGTTCTAAAATATGTGCGATTTTTGCCCAACCACTTGTTAATGGAAATTTTGATACTTCCAATGGTCTGCGGTATGTAAAATATTCAATTTTATTATCTGTTTGAAGCAGAAAGAATTTTTTATTTAAACTTACATTATTTCCTCTTTCTCATTAGGCATACTTTGGATTTCTCGTATGTAAATATGTATTCTATATATTTATATTTCTCTTTTGAAATAACTGTTGCTGATAAACATAATTATTATTATTAGCATCTTTCATAAATTCTTGAATGTTAGTATAGATTGCCTTTTTTTGGTTTAGAGGTGATGATCGTTTATACAGTCAAACCTCGATAAACCGAACTACCATAAATCGATTTCGCTTTATAACGATGCAAAATTGGCTAACCAAATTATATTTAATAAAAATTATTTCGTTAAGCCGAATTTTATTATAATTTCTACTTTACTTGATAAACCGAACTTAATGGTTTGTACAAAATAATAAAAATATAACTTTCTAAGCCGAATATGATCATAAATGGTTTTAAAGTTCGTCTTATAATAAAATTCGGTTTAAAAATGGTCAATTCTACTTTCTATCTTTAACCATGTCAATTTCTAATAAAAATACGAAAATTACATTAACTTTATTACAAAAAATAGAATTATGTTTAAAAAGGAACAGAATTGAAAAACTTTAAACAAAGTACTTACAAAAGAATTTGGAATTTATCCTAAAAGCTGAATATCTAGCAGTTGATCCAAATGACCAAGATAACCAAAACAAAAAAAAACGGATCAAACGACCTCAAATATATAGAAATTGAAGAAGCACCAGTATTATGGGCTATGCAAGCACAAACTGCAAATTTAACAATTAGTGGCAGCATTCTTTTGAATAAAGCACAACGATTTGCAAGCCTTCTTAACATCACTGATTTTTGGGGTTCTAATGGATGGTTAAATAAATTCAAATTACGTCATAATCTTAAACAGTATAACAAGCATGGAGATCGACTTCCAGAAGAAAGGGAAAGGTTGCAAAATTTGATTTCTGATTATTCACTTCATGATGTGTTTAATTGTGATGAAACAGGCTTATACCAGAATACATAACCTTCGAAACACTAGCTACAAATAAAATTTCAGGCACAAAAAATTCAAAAAATAAGTAACAATTCTTTTGACATGCAACGCTACAGGTTGCGAGAAATTAGATCCATTGTTTATATATAAATATAAAAATCCTCGTTCACTTAATGGTAAAAATAAAACCGATTTGTCAATTGGAACCAATCAGCATAAAAAAAATATTGTTTTTTCTTATTATTATATATATATTTTTAATAATTTAATAATAGTTTATATATGTGTGTGA